AAATGCGATACTGAGGTTAGAACTCAGGATCTTGTACAAGCTCCCCATGTGCTTTACCACTGTACTATCAATCCTCAAGCAAAAACTTTGAAGTGGCTTTTTCCCCCTATACCCAATACATTAGTAAATCCTATAACCTGTCCCTTCATAACTTATCCATTTCACCACATTACCTCTCTTACAGCAATCTAAGCTACCACCATCTCAGTGAGATTCCTAGATTACTTCTTCACTGAGAAAATGCAGATCCCTAGAAATCTATTTCCACAAAGCAGCCAAGTAAATCTTCTAGGATAAATTTAATCATGTAACCCTGTGATTTCCCCAAGTTACTTCATGCAGTTAATTTGTAATGAAATCCAAATTCTACAGCTCTTTATGGCTTTATCCCCACACCTTTAACTCTTTCTCTCTCTCTCCCTTTCTCTCTCAGGTTCTGTCTATCTACATATTCCTAGAATTATGTAGACCAGGGTGACCTCAAACTCATAGATATTTGCCTGCCTCTGCCTTTTGAGTGCTGGGATTAAGGGTGTGTGCCATTACTCAATGACTTCTGCCATAATTTCGTCTTCACTATCCTTAGCAAATTACTAGACCAAATACATAATATAATCCTATTTTGAAAAACATAATACACATATGCATAAATATGAGAAAGGATATTTCCAAACAGGAATAATCATAGGTAATAAGATTACAATTAATTGTTTCTTAATGTAAAAAAGTTAATTTCTAATTCCAACAATTGTTATACCAAAACAAGGAAAGGCATTAAACCCTTTGCATCTAGTGCGGCAATAGAGCAACCAGCTCCCAGACCTTAGCACAACCTATGCCATGTTGGAAGCACCATTTTTATCTCAGAACCTAGCACATAGGTCCCAACACCTGCTAAAACTGGAACATCAAATTAACCCATCAAAGACCTGGTCCATGATTCCAGGATCCAAGAAAGAAAGTCTCTAAACGGTCAACTTGCTTTTTGGCTTCTGTAGTTTTTCTCCCTTACTGTTCTTGCTAATCAAAGTGTGACAACCAGATGTGGTTTTTCTGCATAAAGGACAAAAAGAGATAAAGCTTGGGGCTGGATGATTTGGGTAAGTTCCCTACACAGTCACCAGCAGGCAATACAGATTTTCTATGTGTTCTTTACTGGATTTCCCATGCAATGATAGTACTTATACATAGAATATATAAAAATAAATCACATGTCACCAAAAATAAATCACACAAGAAATACTTAGTAACTACTATGTATTAATACAGACATTTTGGTCATTATTTCATTTTTATACAATGAGAACCACTATCCCCATATTACTGATTGGAAAAACTAGAAAAATATAAAAGTGAGTTATCCTTAGCTACACCATAAATGAAGAAGCCTTTATTGACATAAATCTTAGATTCTTTTAAAAATAGTTTTATTACATCTTATTTGTGTGCGCATGAATAGAGGCCATTAGACAATTCATGAGGGGGTTTGAATATTGAACCTAGCCTCAGGCCTCTTGGCAGGCATCTTTTCCCATTGAGCCACCTCACCAGCCAGCCCCCTTGCTTTTTCTAAACATTGTTCTGTTTCTTTGTATTGTTATAATAGCGCAAAAACTGACACAATCTAGACACCTAGCAACAAGAAAAACAATGCAACTAGATGTTTGCCAAAGCAGAATGACATAAACACTGAGGGCTATCACATCAGAGAGCAAACTATGTCATTGTGAACACAAGCGTGAGAAAATTAAATATTTCACACAGGAAAAGACTAAAAATAAACCGACATATTCTTGTTAGTTCAATGTGGGTAACGGAGGGAGAGTTTTTTTTTTTTTTTACTTTGTGTTTGCCCCGTTTTCATAAATGCACCAGAACTGCTTCAAAACAACAAAAAGCTAAATTAAGACAAGAGGCATGATGCCTCCTCACGCATGTTAACATCAGTTTGGCATCTTCCCAGAAAACTCCAAATTCCAACTCTAAACTCAAGTGCTGTCCGCTTGACTGGCGTTCTACATCCTTCAAAGACATCTGGAAACTACAGGAGTCATAGGAATTTACGATGCCCGTAATTTGTTGGTAGTCTGTCACAATGAGCCTATTAAGAGCTTACTGGGATTGATGACCAGCTGCCTTTTAGAAGGTACGAGTTTAATAGCTTTCCACTGGAATAAACTTAACTCAAAGATATTTTCCAATTACTTCCGGAATGTGCATCTCGTTAAAAATAATACTCGAAGCAAGCACAGGTGGTAGGAAAAGATGAAGCGTTCACAAAGACGCGCTTGCCTCCAAAGCCTCAACTTTTTGCACTGTCTGCCCGCGGTGCGCCAAGCGTTGTCTCCAGTGTCACCAAACAGAGCGGAGCTCTACTGGAGGGAACCTGGGATCCGCAGGGAAGCGCAGAGCGCAGAGGCACTCTCCGCAACCGCACGGCTGACGCCGCAGGCCAGGAGGCGGAGACGCGCTGGGCAGGAGCCCGGAACTGGCGAAGCCTCGCTAGACCAACCCGCCGCAGTAGTGTGGCAGCAATGACCGCGGCCCGCTTTGAACACGCCCACGCGTTTCCCAGGACGCACGCACGCCTGCGTCTTTCTAGGTGCCAAAGACTTCCGGGAAACTGGTGCGGCTTTGGAGCGTTCACTTCCGCCCCGCTCCGCGGAACCTGTGGCTATGGGTCACTGCGTTCCGATACCAGGGATCCCGAGGCGGGAAAAGTACTAGAAGGAACTGTTTGGTCTGTCCGTCACTTTGTAAACGTTTCTTGAATGTTTAATGTTTGATTCACCTTTACTAACTGTTAACTGTAACAATATGGAATGTTCTAATCTTCTCTTTCGCTCCCAAACTGATAATAGCGTGGAAATTAACTTGGTGGGGAAAAAAAATCTTCAAAGGAAAAATTGGGAAAAATTTTGCCAAAAATTCTGACTGCTTTATTCTGCTCTTTTTGTTTCGTTGTGCTTTGTTTGTTTCCAAGACAGGGTTTCTCTGTAGCTTTGGAGCCTGTCCTGACCTGAAACTAGATCTTGTAGACCAGGCTGGCCTTGAACTCACAGAGATCCGCCTGCTTCTGCCTCCTGAGTGCTGGGATTAAAGGCTGCCTGGCTTTATTCAGTTTTAAGAAAGGCTTACGTAAATCTGAAATTGGTCACAGTTCGGTATCGGACAGCGTCCGTTATTTATCTTCTACTTATCCCTTCCAAAACCAGAAAGCTTAATTCTCACATAAAACAAACCACAAAGAACACAGGGTCAAAAGGGGACCTGGGGGAGATTCTGACGGTTTAAAAGCTTTCGGCTAATCAGTCAACAGCAGTAAGAAACACAGAGGTATTTTCACCCACTTCTAGGCCCCATCAAGAATCAGCTCCCAGAGAAGCACGCCCAATACTAGCATCCCACCCCTTTGCTCTTTACTCTAAGTTTCTACACGGAAACACTCAGCTTCCCTATGGGGCGTCGCTCAAGTTAGAAAGGCCTTCGTCCCCGCTCGGCCCGCCCCCTAGCTCCGGAAGTGAGGTCAAGGCGCGCCTGGTCCCGCCCCCGGAAGTAGGGTTTTCTATCCGGATTCTTAGCGCGGACTCGGAGCGCTGCTTTTCTCTACGTGCTTTGCACATGCGCGACTGCTTTTCCCTTCTTCCTCCGCTTCCACTGGCGTCCACGGTTCGCGGA